AGTAATGTCAAATTTGTTTCATGTATATTAAATAAATTTTAATTTATTTGGAAAATAATTTACCATTCATCAATAATGAATGGCTAAAGAATACAATGATATCATCCCAATTAAGTAGAAAAACGAGTAGATGAGAAGGCTATTGGTAATAACCTGTATACTTATTATCTGTTACTTTATCAGAATATATGCCTTATCATTATTGACTATTGTCCTCATCATGCATCAAGGTCGCCGGCAATGATGAATATAGTTTTCGAATGTACGAAGAACTAGCTCATAATGTTTCCGCCGTAGATAGAGGTTCTATATCGTGGGACGATCCACTTATATCACACGCGGTTTGGGAGAACCCGTCTTATGTTGAAGAAAATCATCGGAGGGAGATTAACGGAGGTCATATTTCCGCCTGTATTTGATGCTTGTTCTGAAGACACTATCAAACAGAAAACGGCTCGCCTTACTTGGTAAGCGGCCAACATTCTTTTTAGATTTTCATTGCGGTGTTTCCCAGTATGTGTTATGTTGTCGTTTATTAGTATTGAAGGGATTTCAAAATAAATTGGAACACAGTACTGAAAAACGAAGAAAAGTCACCGCCGCCTGGTGTTGAGAAAAGCTTTTGGTTTGAAGCAGGGTCAGCCAATCTAAAAAGAATAACAAAGGCGGTGATGATGATGATGGTGGTGATGATGGTGAAGGGATTATCGTTGAGGATGGAGGTTGCTAATTTTAAAATATTCATTCTCTTTGAGAATCTTTAAATATCACTTTTTATTATATGAATTAATTAACTGGATAATATTTATAATATTTAATTAAAAATTAAAAGTCAAAGATTCAATCAGTGATATGATGCTTATTTGACCTTGACATATTTTGTAATAATTTTTTGAAATTTGCAAAAAAAAAAAAGGATTATATATATATATATATCATTCCAAACAGTACCTTTTCTCTTGGTCTAGTTCTATAATAATATTTGCTCCTTTCCACTCTATTTTCTGTTCCTTTTGTCATAGTCTTGTAATTGATTCATTTTTTTTATTCTTTATTTTAAATTAATATTGTCTTTTTATGATGTGTAGTGAGTTGTAGTGGGAGCTGATCTTTTTTTATATACAACAAACAAACAAAACACCCGACTTAAAAAAAAAAGAAATATGTTTAACAATTTTTCTTGTATAAAGTTATTTGTGCTTATCAGGAAATCCTCAGGAATTCGAAAACATGTTATTTCTTGTCATATTAGGTAAAAGGGGATTTTTATCTTTAGTGATTCTAATTTTATAAAGCAAAAATGATTAAACGAAGGAAGCTGACAATCTGGTGTCATGAATGACTCTTCTATTCACAATCACAGGCGGATGTTAAGATAGGATAGCCAACTTAAATCAGTCCTTGGTTATGTTATCTATACTGACTTCATGATAGAAGGTAGGAAAGTACGCGTTATAAACATATTTGATATATGGTTAACACGAATTGGATTTTGTGCTGATCAGAAAAATCCTATCATCCAAAAGAAAAATGTATGAACTCCGCCGCTGATTATGGTGATTAAATTTTTTTTTTTTCTTATAATAATAATAAATGTTATTATTGATGTTGTAATATGCGTAATTACAACCACCACCCTCCAAGGGGTCTGGCACGGTTCCCGAAAACTATTTTCCCCAATAGCTCATTAAATTGACTTAAACAGCTTAGCCGGCTAATAAATGGTTTAACAGGCTAAGCCAGACTTAAACAAATTAACCGGCTATAAATAGTCTTAAACATATTAATCGGCTAATAAATGACTTAGTAGTCGGTTGCTGATTTTAATATATGATCGACATGGCGTGTTTTCTGTCAATGAATGAATTGAGCGTAAACTCATTATTAATATTAAACAATTTTCGTGCTCCAAGTAAATACAATCACGCATTTTTGACTTTTAAAATGCAAGCTTTATGATTCTTTAGCTCTTCTGGTTCTGGAATAATAGCCTCCCGAAGAAACCTATGGTTTTTGGTTTCGGAAGCTTAATTCTTTTCGGAAATCAGTTTAGTAGTAAATGAGTGTGTGGGAACTGAGTTTGTATTCAACGAAAGAAAAACTTAACTCCTTGAGAATAACTGATGAAACAAAGGAGAGATTGGGATACACAAAAAAAAACTAGACAATATATATTTATAAGTTTTTTGTGTGAGCTTTATATTTTATTAGCCTTTAAAAAAATTTTACTTACGTATTTTTGACAGATTTAACGTAATAGTTTTACAATTTTGGTAACATTCCGTCAAACAACATTAATTGAGACGCAATCAGGTTTTTATTGAAAAAATCCAAGCCGGCCTGATATTTTACCTAAAATATAATAATAAAATTTCCTTGTGATGAGCACCATCCTTTTTCCACACATTGATTCTGTGACTGACAATAATGATAATAATGGTAATAATGAAATTAACCATCAAATATATTAATATTCACAATATCTGTTGAATCCAAAAGTATCATTTGCCATATTTATCACTTTTCATCCTTCAATATAAATTATTTTAAAAAATTTTAAATTATATCAAAAAATTCTTTTCTTTATCCGCCCAAAAAAACCTCCTGCACACCCAAATATTCTGGTCCAGGTGATTTTAATAGATTTGATACTGGTTCGCATTCATTTTGATTATAAGCATATTCACCAGTAAATTTATGTACAGACCGTGTAATACTATCGATACGAAATTTTGATCTTGTTGATGTTGATATTGTTGATACAGTCAAACCTTGTCACAGCGGACTATAATTAAATTCTTGTCGTAATGGATTTTTAAAATTTTTGCCTCATATTCGCATATAATAATAATAATAATAATAATATGTTATCCGTAATTCTGAACATCCGGGAAAATCTGATGGAATATGCAATTCTAATTAGAAAAGGAATATGAGATTCAATTTATAAATGTTTCTAATAAGTTTTGACTTGAAAAACTATTTTCTAATACACAAATTATACTAATTTTTCTTTCTTCATCTTCTTTATCATCACCATCTTTTAATAATGTATGAAGAAACTTTTGACTCTAGTCATTGACGTAACTAAAGTATTGACTAAAGGTAGTTTCTCACCAGGGTCATTTTGACGACTTGACGTAAGTAAAACCACTTGACGTAATTAAAGACACTTGACATAAGTAAAAAGGCTTAATACAAGTAAATCACTTGATATAAGCAGCAATAATGATGCGTGTCCCAGGAATCAATAAAGAATTATTGTATCATTATATGTACTGTACAGTATGATTATACGGGAGAACTTTTACTTAATTAAACTACTTATCCCCCCGTATACTTTTCTCAAAATAAAAATGCTATTCTTTTTTACAAATTAAAACTATTCTTTTATTATTACATTTCATATATATAATCAAATTGTCTTTGATACATGAGTTGTGTAAAATTGATGTTTTTTCGAGTTTTTGTCTTGGAAGTTAGCTACGCATAATAGTAATATGCAATAATATTAATAATTTTCTTGGGCTGTTTTTGGTATCTGAGTTTGAAGCAATATAGATTGATCAATATTGGTACTTGGAACGACCTTTACATAGCACATAAGACAGGTTTTGGTACAAATTTTTATAAGTTTTAATTTCTTTTCTATTTTTATCACTTTAAATCTTCAAAGAATTTTTTTTATTGGATTATGATAAATCGATTGGTGATGATGAATAATGCAATTTAATCCTTTTAAAAGACAATAAAAAACATGTACGAAAAAAATTGCTTGTTACACATTACTCAATTCTCCGCAAAAATCTCCACATTCATTAAAGCATCAAGTCGAATTTTATATTTTATATTTTATAATGTCATATTATAAACTAACATCATCGTTATCATCAGAAAGAAGGGGATTTGTATATAAAATTAATGGTGGAATGCATAATAATGCTAATGCTAATTCTGATAGAGAAAGTATAAAAGATTATTTTTTTTCATTAGTCGAAAAAAACAAGGAGCTTTCTGAAAATGAAAAAGAATATTGTATAGAAAAGTTTATTTATGAGTTTGAATTAGATAATGCAACATATGAACTGGGAAAACCAAAAGAATGCAACAAGTGCAAATTGACAAGATACTCTGATAGGTTTTGTGAAGGTTGTATTAGATTACAATTACAGAGCCTTTTCACCACTTGGACATCTGGGAATAACATAATTGATGATTTTATTCAACAATGTCAAATGAAATCATCTCTGCCAAACCATATTTTAGAATGGATACCTTTTGAGCAATTTGATGATATAACAAAGTTGACAGAAGGTGGATTTAGTTCGATTTTTACTGCTACATGGATAAGAGGAGGTATTAATGATTACGACGAAAATGAAAAGGAATTTAGTTATTTAGGAAGGGAAAATGTAGTATTAAAAAGTTTAAACAATTCAAATAATCCTGGAAAAGGCTTTTTTGATGAGGTTGGTAGTTGTCATTTAAACAAATAAACAATACTGTATTATATAATACTAATTGGTTTGATATTCAATAGGCAATGAATTATTGTAAAATTAAATCAGGTTTGATTGTTCAGTGCTATGGTATAACTAAATTCCCAGATAATGGAAATTATGCAATAGTTTTAAATCATGCTTTAGAGGGAAATTTAAGGGGTTATTTACAAAACAATCATTTAACATTAAAAGACAGAGTTACATTCTTTCATTATTTATGTTATGCATTATATAGTATACATCAGAAGGATTTAATCCATTGTGATTTACATAGTGGTAATATACTTGTGGGAGGAGGTTGTTGTTATATTACAGATTTAGGATTATGTGGACCAGTTGATGAAAAGTCATCAAATAAAGTGTATGGAATTGTATCATATGTTGCACCCGAGCTACTTAGAGGTAAAATTAATACAAAGAACACCAAAGAAACTGACATCTATAGTGTTGGAATGTTAATGTGGGAAATATTTGCAGGTCATCCACCATTTAATGATAAAGCTCACAATCATCGCTTGATTTTTGATATATGTGAAGGTTTACGACCACCAATACTACCTGGAATGCCTGATGATTATGTACAAATGATGCAGAGGTGTTGGGATGTGGATCCATCAAAAAGACCAACTAGTGAAGAGCTTTGGACATTTGCTAAAAATAAATATGACGAAATTATTAAAAATGAAATTCTTGAAAATAAAAGGTTAACAAATAAGAACTTAAAAAATAATAGTTTAATAAAAAGATTATTCGGATTTTTTAAACATGAAATTGATTTTAATGATGATAGTAGCAGCAGCAGCATTGGTAATGATCCGCAACAAGCACACAAATCACATCCAGATGCACATCATACAAGTAGAATATTAGATGAAGAGATTGCTAAATCTAAAAGCTTAAAAATTACAAGTAATAGTTCGTTAAATAATCTTGATTGTGACTCTTTTTTCTAAATTTGAATAAAAATTTCATTACTAATTAATTGGAAATTACTATCCATTACTAACAATATCAATTGATTAATTAATAAACATTAGGTTCTAGTAACAATCGTAATTTAATCTCCGCTATAAATTATTACCTTATTTTTATTTATCTTTTTATTTCATCCTTATTTTATTTCTTATCTTGTAACAATATTTTGAAATAAACTTTTACAATTTTTCAATTCTTGTTAAATGGTGATATTGCGAGGTATCATTTCGGTTAATTAACAATTATGGTTTATAAAGTTCCTTTGCAAAACAACTTAAGTAGCTTGTTTAACAACCTTACGTTTACGACTATAATACTATCAGTATTTCCAATTAACCTTTGCTTACTCACTAAAGCAAATTACGTTATTAATCGTTGTAAACATCACTAGTTAACCACAACCTTGCTCGCTTGCTCACTAAGGCAAATAACATGGCTTTTTACCAAAGCTCCACAATTGTTACCTTTCACCAAGGCATTAACTACACTTGTTGCTTTTATCAAAATGCTTTAAACAAAGAAAATAAAAACAACGTTTTATTTTTAAAAGTTTATTAATGATTAATTTTATTTAATAAAAATAATGATTCTGTCAGAGTTTTATTTTATTTTCTTCTGCGAGGACCCGAAGTTATCCTTAATGAAATTTTTATTGATCACTACAATAAAGATAAAAAATAAATATTGGCATGTAGAGCAACTTTTACATACATATGACTGATGTTTCAATTTCGTTTTCTATTTTTATTACTTTAAATCTTCAAAGAATTCTTTTTATTGTTGAATCATGATAAATCGATTGGTGATGATGAAAGTTTAAATAATGCAATTTTTTCCTTATCAATTAATCCATTTAAAGGCAATCAAATATAAAAAACAAATTATTTGTTACACATCACTCAATTTTCCGCAAAAATCTACACATTTATTAAAGCACCAAGTCGAATTTTATATTTTATATTTTATAATGTCACATGATAAACTATTATCGTTGTCATCACCAGAAAGAAAGAACTTCGTGTATAAAGTTAATAGTGAAATGCGTAATAATGCTAATGTTAATTGTGATAGAGAAAGTAGAAAAGATTATTTTTTTTCATTAGTCAAAAAAAACAAGGAGCTTGTTGAAAATGAAAAAGAATTTTGTAAGGAAAGGTTTATTTATGAGTTTGAATTAGAGAATGCAAGAGATAAACAGGGAAAACCAAAAGAATGTAACAAGTGTAAATTGACAAGATTCTCTGATAGGTTCTGTGAAGGTTGTATTAGTTTACAATTACAGAGTCTTTTCACCACTTGGACATCTGGAAATAACATAATTGATGATTTTATTCAACAATGTCAAATGAAATCATCTCTGCCAACTCATATTTTAGAATGGATACCTTTTGAGCAATTTGAAGAAGTGACAAAGTTGACAGAAGGTGGATTTAGTTCGATTTATACTGCTAAATGGACAAGAGGAACTATAGTTGATTACAACGAAAATACAGAGGAATTTAGTTATATTGGAGCACAACATGTAGTATTAAAAAGTTTAAACAATTCAAGTAATCCAGGAAAAGGCTTTTTTGATGAGGTTGGTAGTTGTCATTTAAAACAATGTTGTATTATATAATACTAATTGGTTTGATATTCAATAGGCAATGAATTATTGTAAAATTAAATCAGGGTTGATTAATCCTTGTTTTGGTATAACTAAATTCCCAGATAATGGAAATTGTGTAATTGTTTTAGCTTATGCTCCAAAGGGAAATTTAAGGGGTTATTTACAAAACAATCACTTAACATTAAAAGACAGAATTAAAATCTTTGATTATTTATGTGATGCATTAGTGATATAAATCAGAAAGATTTAATCCATTGTGATTTACATAGTGGTAATATATTAATAAATAGAGGAGGTGGTTGTGATATTACATATTTAGGATTATGTGGACCAGTTGATGAAAAGTCATCAAATAAAGTCTATGGAATTATATCATATGTTGCACACGAGCTACTTAAAGGTAAAATTAATACAAAGAATACCAAAGAAACTAATATATATAGTGTTGGGATGTTAATGTGGAAATATTTGCAGGACATCCACCATTTGATGATAGAGCTCACAATCATCGTTTGATTTTTGATATATGTGAAGGTTTACGACCACCAACACTACCTGGAATGCCTGACAATTATGCACAAATGATGCAGAGATGTTGGGATGTGGATCCATCAAAAAGACCAACTAGTAGAGAGCTTGCTATTTTTGCTGATAATAAACATAAGGACATTATTAAAAATAATAATAGCAATAATACTACTAGTAGCAGTGGTAGTGGTACTTCACATCAAGCACACAAATCACATCCAGACGCATATCATACAAGTAGAATATTAGATGAAGAGATTGTTAAATCTAAAAGCTTAAAAATTACAAGTAATAGTTCGTTAAATAATCTTGATTGTGACTCTTTTTTCTAAATGTTAACAATGATGAATAAAATTTTCATTATTATTAATTATTACCAACAATATTAATTAATTAGATTCTAGTAGCAATAGTAAAAGAATTGATGGATGACTAATTTAATCTCCACTATAAATTTATTATCTTCTTTTTATTCACATTTCATCCTTATTTTATTTCTTATCTTGTAACAATATTTTGTAATAAACTTTTTTACAATTTTTCAATTCTTGTTAACATTAATTGGTGATATCATTTCAGCTAATTAAAAATCATGGCTCAACTTTCTTGTCAATTAATTGCAACTCGCAGTAATTTGATACTTGTCAAATAATCAGTTTACGAATTTACTTTGATTCTCGATTACTGCACCTATATAGACGAATCTGTGGGCTTGATGGTACCAGATAACTGTAAATAAATAAAGATGGTCCTTTTGCAATGGTATAAAGTTCCTTGTGATCGATTTGTTTTAGTTGTTTACCTTTGTTAGCCGATTGCAAACTCGCTTTGGTTTACTTGTAAAATAACTTGAGTAGCTTGTTTAACAACCTTACATTTATGACTACAATAATACTATCAGTATTTCCAATTAACCTTTGCTTACTCACTAAAGCAAATTACATTACTAATCATTGTTAACACTCACTGATTAACCAATGTTGGTCCTAATCTTGCTTGCTTGCCCACTAAAGCAAAAAATTACCTCTGGTTAATTAGTTATTAACACGTCTTCAGACGAGAGCCCAAACCAAACAACAACACTCGCATTTTGTCATTGAAATATAAGATTGTTTTCCAAGGAAGAAAAAAAAACAATTCCCATCAACTAAAAAAAAACTAATAGGATAAATAATTAATGTGTATAAGCAAAGCAGCACCAAAAGAAAAAAAGAAAATAATAAGGTGCAGAATGAGTAAGTGTTCATCATAAGGATGGTGGTGGTTATCGCCACTCGTCGTCACTCTAGTTATGAGGTTATTAAGGAACTCTTCACCTGGTATGTGCGAGTATTTCAATGATTTTAAGACTAATTTATACTTAAAAAAAACGATTAGACGAAGAAATGGCAATTAGCGAATCTTTGTTGGATGAAAACGAAGAGCTAAATGGCCAGTATTTAAAGTGCAAAATATGCCTAGAAGAACCAGTAACGCATTGCTTTTCACCACGCAACCACCTAGTAACATGTGAAAAGTGTGCTTATAAAATTGGTATCTATGTGATATGTCGTTCCAATATTAGTTCATATACAAGAATGTATATTTATTTAATTGGACAATTTCATTAGTTAGAATTTAAATTTAAACTTTCATTAATTATCATTAAATTTTAGTAAAGCAAATAATTTTTTATATGTAACAATTAAAAAGTACAAATAAATCTTTTACAAAGTAATGTTTCATATATTACTGTTAGCAAAACTTAATTCAAACAATAAACATGACTTTATCAAATTATTAAGATTCGTTCGTTATAAGTCAAATCAAAATAAAGATTGTTTGTTTGAGGTAACATGAATAGTATAATGTCTACAATCCAGGCAATGATAGAAATACGTTTATTAAATATTTGTTTTTGTTTATTAGACCCCATAAAGATGTTATGAACGTATTTGTAGAAGAATTAGACCTTGGAATAGGATGGATCGTTCATTATTCAATGAAACATAAGAGATTTGATGCTCAAGATGCTTGCGGGATCTCACATGCAAGTGTACCAATAGCAATTACAGTGGGTGCAATTGAAAAGTCAAGTGTTCAATTACTGATTTTTCAAATTTTGGACCTTTACGTTGACATTAAAGATATTCCCTTGGCCTCGTACAATGTGAATTATCTGGTACAAATCTCTCACCTTCACTAGTTGCATGTGCTGTTGCTTTAAAAATCAGTGCTATTGGTAATCTTAGTCCTTCAGAAATGGCCGAAAGATTATTTTTGATATATATCAAAAAATGAAATTTGGCTCATGATGTTCTTTTCTTATTTAGTAAAGGATATTTTAAACACGTGACTATAACAAATTATTAAAAAATGCAAACCGCGCACATGAGGGAAAAGTTAGAAATATTAAAAAAAACAAGGTCAAATAACAAATTGAATAAAAATTTAGAATATGCATCAAGTGATAGAAGACTCAGGTAAAGAAATTGATTATATAAAAGATCTATAGGGTGATAAAATTTGGATAATCTGCATTATAGTAAAATTCGAACTTACATAGTCAGTCTATTACTATGTTTATACACGCCAAATTTTTACTAATAAAGGAATTTTAGCAAAATGCAATAACAAATAGTCTTTTAATAGAGTTTAGGTTCAATAAAGGCATTAAAATTGCCTATATGAATGGGCTAAAGTTGTTACTTGCAATAATGTAGCAGAAATTATTACTATTACCAATAGGCGGGCGTTTGAGCAATTTTTCAACGCCGCTTGTTTACTTTGTTGCAAATTATTTATATAATAATAATAAAATTTATTTTTTATTTAAAATACAAAATTAAATAAAAAATAAATAAAAATAAATAAATTAAAAATTAAATACATTAAAATATAAAATGAACAAATTTTTTACTATAAAATAATATACAATATTTTTTGATTTTTTTTTAAATTGCTTCGATTTTTTTGTCTCGATATTTTCTTTACATGATAGAGCAGTGGTTTGTAGCATTTTCAGGTTTGTCGGTGGCACCTTTTGAGATGGTGGCCGAGCTGACGATAGTTTGAGCGATGGCTTGAGTTGATTTCATTTTTGTAAAAATTTGTTTTTTTATATTTTTTACTCTTCAAGAGTGTATTTAATTTTATTTTTTATTTTTGTTTTTTTGTTTTTTTGTGTTGGAAAAAAAATTGAGACGAAGAAAGATTGTATATTTATAAGAAATTTTTCTTTGAATAATATTATTTAGACAAACTTTTCAATAACACTAAAAAAATGCTTAATATTGTTTAATATAAAGTTTAATTTCTTTGATAAAAGTAGTAATAATGAATAGCAAACAATGCAACAAAATGCAACTTCCCTTTATTCGTTTCAAACGAATTCAAAAAATAAAATAATGCAGCTAGCAATATGAAAATCGCGTGATTTGTTTGCGAGTTATGATCAGGTGGCGTCACATTAATATGTGATGAACGACTATTCATTCTATTATAGTTATTCCCGTTTATGGAAAAAATTCCATAATAATATAATAATAATAATAATAATAATCGAAATCGGTCCTGGTTACGAAGCCACTGAATTTATTCAGCCAATCACAATCCTGACACCAAAAATAGTTCAAAATTCTATTTTGCTTTGTCTTTTTATGATTGGATGTCTAGCCTTTTATTCACTCGTTAACTTTTTGACAATACCGAGATGCTTAATATTGTTTAATGTTAATATAATACTATAAAGTTTAATTACTTTGATAAAAATAGTAATGGTGAATAACAAACAATGCAACAAATGTAACTTCCCTTTATTTGTTTCAAAACAAAATCAAATAATAATTGAAATACAAAGCAACTGCATTTATTGGCTAATCATAATTATGAGTTCAAAAATAGTTTTTGATCGTCAAAGCTTCCATCTTTCTTTCTCTCCGTCTTTTAATAATTATGAACGTCTATTCCTCTTAATGCTCTTCCAATACTTATCGTAAATGAGGTTGCTTTACTGCCTTTTCTCACGTTCTTGTATTCCTTAATGTAACATTATGCATCTCCGAATGGAATTTCATAAAATCCCGGTTTTTTGCTTATATGTAGTTTATATCAGTCCTTATATGGCAATAATACTAGAAAGTAACAATTGATGAATAAATTCATCATATTCAAAAAATTTACTGTATGACAAATTATTATAACTCTTGCAAGTAACTCATCATTATAACCACTTGGTCCATCAGATAAAACATTAAATTCCTTAACGAGACATTGTGCATTTACAAAAGAAAATTTTAATTTTATAAAATATGTGTGTAATCCAGTCCAAGTAACAATTTCAAAACAAAGACCAACAATAAATGTTAAGAAAAAGAAAAAGTTGGAATTGTTATTTTGTTACTTCTCCAACACACAATATACCACCAAGCCAAATTTATATCGGGTTGGAGTATCAATATGTTAACAAACGGCTACTATCTATTTTTATAGTGCAAATAGTTGGACATTACAACTTTACTCTAAAATGTATCATTCTTGACGGCTTCAATAATCCAACCCTCCGCTGGTAGAAAAAAAGTAATTCACGAAATTTCACATAGTGAAAGCATCGAGTATAACAACCGTTTTACAATATTTTTACAAATACTAGTGAAATATTAGTAAAACTATGTTATACTCGGTGTCTTCACTATGTGAATTCTTTGTGAATTACATTTTTCTACCAGTGCTCTCCCCAAAATATTTATATTAATCAAGCGTGATATTATCGAGCTATATTAAATTCATATAAATTCGGGTGATGGTTCATTAAAAAAGGTTATCAAGAAAATTATATGCAAAAGTTTAGGAAATCTAAAGGATTTTGATATCGCTATTTACAGAGTAATAATAATTGAACTGTTGTGGTTCCCAACTTTTACAGTTGGAACTCGTTAAACCGATGTAATTGTTTTGAGCTCAAAAGCATCGTTTTATCAAACATTTATTTCATTAAGTAGTCTTTGATAAAAATTCAGTTTAAAAAAAGGTATACATCAAAATTTATATATTTGTCTATACTATGTTGACGTGCTAGCGAACTTTTATATAATAAAATACCACTTATAATGAATTTTAACATGTCTTTGTTCGTTGGAGTAGGTTTCGATTGTTTTAGAACACACATTTCTCTCTTTCTTTTTAATGCAGTAAACATATGTAAATCATTTATAAAATTATACAAAATAAACAATGATTGTCTTGAACATTAAAAGTGAAACAATAGGAATATCGTTGATTTTTGTTATAATAGGTAAACTAGAAAAGCTTCGCTATAACAAAAATTCATTTTATCGAGTTCCGAGTGTGTGTACATGTTTTTAAATTATTTTTAATTAATATTTTATTTTATTTTGAAAAATTACTAAAAATATAAAAATACATTATGACGATTAATATTAAAAATTAAATTTACACATTACACAATTAATAATATAAACAAGTAATTAATTAAAATCAAAAATAAACAATGAAAATTATTTGAATTTGTAGAGTTTTCCGTTTTTTTTTTAATTGCTTCGGTATTTTTTTCTTTACATTATAGAGCAATGGTTTGTAGCATTTTCAGGTTTTTCAGTGGCACCTTTTGAAATGGTGGCTGAGCTGACGATAGTTTGAGCGATGGCTTGAGTTGATTTCATTTTTGTAGATTTTTGTAAATTCGTTTTAAAATTTAAATGTTGTTTTTTCTTTTGTTTTTACTCTTCAAGAGATATTTTGTTTGATTTTTTATTTTTGTTTTGGTTTTTTGTGTTGGAAAAAAATTTTGAGACGAAGAAAGATTGCATATTTATAAGAATTTTTTGTCTTTAATTCAATTCTAAAAATATTAGAAATATTGGACAAACAATAATTAACCGTTCTTAACAATACTCAAATTAGGCTTATTATTATTATAGACAAAATTTAAACAATCGAATAATACTATTTGCTATGAATAAACAATATATAACTTTAATATGACGTTTCAGGAGAAAAAAAAACAGTTTCGGAACCGGGAAAAATATTTTGTACTCGCATTATTATTATTCATGAAACCCATATGGGTTAGATTACTAATTCCTATTGTATACAAAATTTTTAATGAACATCACAAATACTCAATATAAAGATTGCATCATATTAACCATTATCATCTAATTTTGTTATTCTTCAAACATACAAGCATCAATGCTTTATTATGCCAGAAATGTACTACATTTAGACTTGATTTGGATTCAAATTAAGAATGCTAAATTTCACAATAACAATTATGGAGTGAATAACTTATTTTATTGTTGGTTAATAAATTAAATGAGCTCCAGAAGGCTATATTTAATATTTTCCTTAATTCAATATAGTCGTCAATAAACAAGACCATATGTCTAGAATGTTTTCCAAGAATGTACAGAAAGCTGTTCCATGAAATTGGTGAATCATTGTATATATAACTCAATTGATTTTCTGTTGACTTTAACGATATAGAAATAAGAAACTTCCAAAAATCATTTAAACTATCTGGAAGGCCTCATTGTTGTCAGGATGATATAATAATATTTTAACAAAAACAGATTAACTTACTACAAGCAAAGTCATTTTTCTCTGACTGCTCTATAGTTCGACATACACAGGATGAGTTACATGAAGTCCTTGCATCATGTAACATAACATAAGGGCATTTGGTTATCTTTTGCAACAACGATTGATTCTATATATCCTACAGGATCAGTAAATATTGTCGTTCTTCTTTTGTAATTGCACCATTGGCTTTCCATTCTTTTCATAATTTTGAGAAACCAAAAAAATAAATTAACCAACATCGCACAAACAGTATATCAAACATTTCAATATAAATATTCAAGCTATATTCCTCCTATAAAATCAATTCCCAGCACTGTTTTGAAAAATAAGTTAAATGACGCCATACGTGTCGCGGATCAATCACTGCGATTTGTGCTATATCACGTAACAGTAAGATAAGTAGTCGTGAAACTTGAAGCTCGTGAAGTTGCTGGTGAAGATTCTGAATACATCAAACGAAAATACAAACTTTTTGATCTTATTTGAAGGTAAGTTGATGGTGATCAAACTTGGGTATTGGGGTATGTACTACATACGGAAGAGCTTGGAAGCAAGAGTTATGCCTGTTATGATGAGTATATAGATGCCTTACGATACAGCATTAATGGCTGCAACTGGGGACCTCTTTCTTATACAAAACTGTTCCTTAATCGTATAATTATCTGATTGAGTCATATATTTAATGTTAGACTTACCATCTTAATTATATAACAGAAGCTCAATTACAGGCAGATAACGGATTTGACGATGTGAGTGCTTTAATATGACTTGGAATGATACGAAAGGTAATGGTCGTCCGATGGCAGTTATATAATATTTTATACCTTACAAGTGTTTAGACTAATGAGTTACTTTTGTTATAATGAATGGCTAAAGAATACAATGATATCATCCCAATTAAGTAGAAAAACGAGTAGATGAGAAGGCTATTGGTAATAACCTGTATACTTATTATCTGTTACTTTATCAGAATATATGCCTTATCATTATTGACTATTGTCCTCATCATGCATCAAGGTCGCCGGCAATGATGAATATAGTTTTCGAATGTACGAAGAACTAGCTCATAATGTTTCCGCCGTAGATAGAGGTTCTATATCGTGGGACGATCCACTTATATCACACGCGGTTTGGGAGAACCCGTCTTATGTTGAAGAAAATCATCGGAGGGAGATTAACGGAGGTCATATTTCCGCCTGTATTTGATGCTTGTTCTGAAGACACTATCAAACAGAAAACGGCTCGCCTTACTTGGTAAGCGGCCAACATTCTTTTTAGATTTTCATTGCGGTGTTTCCCAGTATGTGTTATGTTGTCGTTTATTAGTATTGAAGGGATTTCAAAATAAATTGGAACACAGTACTGAAAAACGAAGAAAAGTCACCGCCGCCTGGTGTTGAGAAAAGCTTTTGGTTTGAAGCAGGGTCAGCCATGATACTGGTCCATTGGATCAATGAACCGGTCTATTTCCAACCCTGGGTTGAACCTGATGCAACGTTAGAAATGTCATCCGATGGTATTGACTAGAATTGATGCACCTTGAAAGTTTGTGGATTTGTCGTGACATTCATTTTATTGATTTAAAATTGTATAATATATGCAATACAAAACATAATCACATAAACAATTTCAAACCATTTACAATGCACGACTCCCTCGTGTTACCATAAAGGTCATTATGAACAAGATTACGTTGTTAAAAATAAAAAAATAATGATTATGTGAAACTTTTGAGGGAATATAATACAGGCTCACAAAAGGCGTGGCCTTACCTCGGAGTTTGGAATCGTAGGTCTACAAGTTGCTGGTATTTATATTTCTTTGGATTTTATGCTCATGTGATTCTCATATTTTTCGCGGGTTTAGATTGTGTCAAAACACGCTGGTAAGAAAATTATATGACACTCCCGGTCGAGATCCTATTCACCGAATATACCACCAACGAGTTAATCGAGTTGTTTCTTGAAATCTATGATTTTTGTGAGTTTATATTTTGGTATGTAATAACTTGTTAATCGGAACATTATCAAGGTGAATATAGACAGACATAGTAAAATAGTGTGTAATTATTTATATTTATCATATTCATCTGTTTCTCTGGTTTGAATATCTATAAATTATGTTTAGCTCGATAATATTTAAATCCGCGTGATAATAAGCCATTAAGAGCACCGAACGCGTCCATACTACACATAAGAACAAAACAACAGTTGTTATCGGATGTGCTGATGAACAAATATTATTTTGACAACGCAATATTTATTTATATTAGACAAAAGGAGTTATGCTCGTAAATGGTTAGTTAGTGTTTCGTAGAGATATCCTTTTCTTTTCCTTATAATTAAAACCATCAACGTATATAATATTTTTTATTTCCCAAAGGCTATATTATTTATCCTAGCATATGTATGTAATGGGCTTAATTCATAAAGAACTAATTACTATTTTGATAATTAGAAAAAACAGAATTCTCATTATTTTTTAAAATCTCAAAAATAAGAGTTATTATATAAAATTTTTTTATATTTTGAGATTTTTTCTATCAGACACATAACGCGAATTTCTGTGGATTCAAACAGTGTTCGTATTGAATACATCAGTACTAGAGGAGTGAGCCGGCTTTTTGAAAAAAAAATATTACATATAATAATAACTTATTTGCAGTCAATCAACTTAATCGTGGTGGGTTTTTGATCTCATGTACGTAAGATGATCAATCTTAAAAATAAAGCTTTAATTCAATGTTTTTCATCTGGAGAGACCTTTCTTTGCATCAATTAATCGATTGATAAAATTGTTGAGGATAAAGGTATGTGATCTTGTGACAACATCTAAATGATTTTTTAATACTTTGGAAGTTAGAAAGTCATAAAACATCTTATAGAAGGGAGAGGAAAATATAAATGGATGGAATTTCTGTGTTGCAATCTCGTACTAAGAAGGATTGGGAGTTGCTTGACTAAGAATAATTACATTTTTGACAATTTTATTCAATCTCCAAAAAAAAAAAATCCATGGACTTAATCTGAAAGTGTATTAAAGAATTCAATAATATAAATTTTTAAAATTTTTATTATGTTTTTCATGTTCTGTCTAAATCTAACATATAATAAATCTTAAAAAAACTAATTTTAAACCTTAACTTTAAATAATCTTATTAAAAAAAATATTTGTACATATACAGTATATTAAAATTTTATACTGTTTATAATAAAAAAAAACAATTATACAAAAAAAGTTTCTGAAATGAAAACCATTAAAATGTCAATAAATAAATAAATAAAATAAATATCTACATATTATTATTTATTATAACTAGGTTTATATCACGGATACCGTGAATACCGTTGAGGGGGTACACACTATTAAAACACCAAACCTATGTGCCCCTTACGGTATCCGCCTAAATTATAATTATAATTATTATCATTAATATTATTATTATTATTATTATTATTATTATTATTACTATATTATTAAGATGCTTGTATGCTATTTTGTAAAGGTAATCCAGTTGTTGATAAACTATTACTTATATCCATACCATGTGAATTACTAATACTAAGATTAATATTACTGTTGATATTATCAACAACATCACCGCGACCGCCATTATTAGTTGCTCCATCTTGACTTTCCCTTTCTTTTTGATTAGCTAGTTCAACAGCAGCAGGCTTAACCCATTCAGGTGGATCAGACACGCACCTTGTAACTGGATCTACCCAACCTTCGTATTTCTCAAAAACTGTATAATCAAATGGCTTAAATTTTTCTTCAATTAATTGATATTGAGCTTCCTCTTTTTCAAAATAATCTATAAATAACAAAACATCAAATGTATTATTATTACAACAATTACAAGTACACAATTATCATCATCATCATCATCATCATCATTATCACTATTCTTCTTCTTACCATTATTACCATAATCCTTGCGACGTCTAGATTTTCTTTTACGTGATGGTCTACAGTCAAGCGGTTGTTCCTCAAGTAGCAGCTCTTCCAGATCGTAAGTTGCATCAAAATTTATTTGATTTGATGAAGGACAAAAAACTGGATTTAATTTTTTCGTTTCTAGTGAAGGCCAATCAATATTACGAAAAAATGGGTGATTTTGGATTAGGGCAAATCCATTCATTCCACAACCTAATCTTTTACTAATATCACGCTCTAGAAACTATGTTTTAATTACATTCATGAGTTAATTATAAATATATCCAACTAATGATGAATTAATTAATCTGTAACCATTAAATATGATTCTAATTAGTAATAGCGAACAGTACTTACACCTTGGATGGCCGATATACAAGTTGGACTTACAGGTGGATCCATGTCAGGATATTTTATTGGTGCTCTTAGAATCATTTTTTTTAGTTCTTCTTGATTATCACACTCAAATGGTCGCTATATTCAATTCAATCAATAGTATAATATAACGATTAACATTAATCCATTAATTAACCAAATACAAATATTGACCAACATACCCCTCCATATATGCATTCATAAAATATAACTCCTAAAGACCACCAATCCACCGTTACGCCATATCCACTGCCTTTAAACACTTCTGGGGCTTTAATTTAAAAATTTAAAAATTTAGATTTAGATTTAAAAATTAGTTCATTCACACATTATAATAATATATTATAATAATATATTTACCCATGTATGCGCATGTACCAGAATGTGATGTTAATGGTTTGTCATGTCTTATATGTGTTGCAATATTAAAATCTGTCAAGTGTACATGTCCTCGATCATCAAGCAGTACATTATCTGGTTTAATATCCCTTTTAAATTAAAATAAAAAAAAAATATGGATTTTGAATTTAACTAAACCCTATACACATAAATCTACATATAATTTTACCTCCTCTAAAATCAAAATTTACCTATGAACTACACCTTTAGAATGTAAATATCTTGTAGCACAAGCTAATTCTGCTATCCAAAATTTTATTGCATCTTCTGTGAATGTTTTACGATTTAAATGAAACCTTAGATCGCCACCCATCCTAATAAAAAAAAAGTATCATTATCATACTATATCAATTAATAATTCTTGAACACATAAAATGATAAAAAAAAATAGAAAAAAGAAAATCAAAAATTTTTTTTTCCACCTTCTTTCCCCAATTAATTAATTATTCTTATTAATTATAAATACATACATTAGATCCATGATCATATACATATAATCATCATCTTGAAATGCAAATCGTAAATTACAAACTAATGAATGATCTAATTCTTCCAACATTAAACGTTCTCTAAGTACATTTCGTAAAGCATCCATTCTAATACATTCTTCTTTTGAAATATATTTTAGTGCGTAAAGTTTTTTATTATCACGTCGTTCAACTATTCGGACCTTTCCAAATGCACCTCTACCAACAACGCGTAATAATTTAAATTGTGAAAGATTTACTATAATTTCGTTATTATTATTATTATTCAAAAAAATCCATCATTAATATCAATATAAAGGATAATATAATTATTGAAATCAAAATTAAATTAACAATGGAAATTTTCATAAACCTTCATCGTCGAAATCTACATCGTATTTGCCATTTGTAACTCCCATATTAGTATTTTTTTTATTTCGAATTATTGAATTATTGAATTATTAATTGTAATAATTAAGTGATTAAATAATTAATATATTGATTTCTCTTCTATCTATTAATCTATTTATATTTATATATTTATATGGTATAACAATTCTACCGAAAGAAAGTTAAAGTTTTTTTTGTATTTAATAATAATAAAATTTTGAAAAAAAAAAGATAAAGGCAAAATGTAAAAAAAAAAATTCATTTCACACCTTTATAAATTTTTTTTTTATGAATTATAAATTTGATGATTGTTTAAACAAAATTTGTATTACAATCGATCATCTACCAGATTTAAATTTTTGTACTACCATGTTGACTTTTTGGTACATATTATTGATGAATGGTAAATGTTGACTTTTTGGTACATATTATTGATGAATGGTAAATTATTTTCCAAATAAATTAAAATTTATTTAATATACATGAAACAAATTTGACATTACTTTTTAATTAAACGTTTTCTTTTTTTCAATTGAAATATTCTAACTTTTCGAAATGTACATAAAAGAATGCCATGTGTAATGAATTCACACGTTCCACGTTGAAATCGAAAATAAAAGAAAACAAAGAAAAATAATTCTTTATAATTCTTTATAATCAAATTCGAAAATTTTTAGGTTTTAGAATTTATCCGAATTATTTTTATACATATAATAACAAAACTATTTTGTATATATTTAATATTCATAATATTAATTAATATTACAATCGCGTATCAAAAATATTACATTTTAAATAGATATCTTTATTTTTATGTTTCCAAATATGGAATGGTTTGTTATTACTCGCAAAATTCAGAACTATACGTATTATACAAGTCATCCATGTCTATTATGTTTTACCTTGTTTAGATTTTTAACTTTGTTCAAAAATTAGTGGCTTATACCTAAAGACTTTCGAATTTAATGAATGAATAAATGTCTCTATAATAATATTTTAAAAAAATATGTCGTCTGCCTATATAATGAGATTGTTAAATTAGACTTGTACAATCATTATCGAGCACGTTAGTGATATATAAACAAACCTTTAAGTCGTTAGTTTGGTTAAGTTCTTTGATTGATTGATACTTGTTAAAGATTAAAATTACTTTGTAGCGAACAGATAACGACAATGATTGCATGCCTTTCCTACCTTTAAAAAATGATTGTAATACCTCTGTATTTTGAGTGGGAAAAATATTTTTTAGAAAATAATTTAAAAGGTATCTTTTTACTGTACTAATACTTATTAATAATAGGTGGCAAACTTTTATAAGATTACTAATTTATAAATCTGTCTAGAGATAAAAAATTCGGCTGCAACGAAACATTCCTTGATTTGTAAATAATCATCTAGTGCTCTTTATCATCCCTGTGGTTGACTGTACGTTAATTTATTTTTTGTTCTTTACGCACTAGTCGTGCAACACAATATTTCGCTAAAGTTCCAGTCACTGTACCTATATTTATATTGTGGGAGCAATAATTTACACAATCTGACCCATAATGTATACTAACATTTAAAATTTTGAAATTGTCTACCGTAACGAAATTAAAATTTACCAATCAATTGATTTAACTGATCAACTGATTATAATAATTCACTGATTATAATAATTCACTGATTTTTATAATTTATGATTTTTTTATAGAAAAAAATTTGTTGCACAAAATTTTTGGATCCCTAATAAATCGTTGACCAATTAAACCTAGCACTAACCAACCTTTTTTGATGTATATAATGAATTTTGACCCATATAATTGACCCCACACTAAATATATTAATATAAATTAATTGACCTAAAAAATTTATTTTCCAGCTGCGGCAGTAATCTATCTATACTAGTACTAGTAATACTAGTAATACTATGAAGTTTGCGAGAGCATAATGATGATCGAACAATAATTTAAAAATTTTTCAGAAATAAGAAAATGAAAATCAAAGGAAACACGTTCATCGTTACTGGAGGGTAAAGATAAATTAATTAATAAAAATGTAGAGTGAATGAATGAATGAAGAATGGGAATCTAAAATTTCTTAATTTGGTTTTTTTAATTAATCAAGTGGAAGTGGTTTAGGTTTAAGCACCGCACAGGAATTATTGAAAATTGGAGCGAACGTTGTGGTAATTATTTATTTAATAATGATAGAATTAATTTTATAAATAAATTGTTTACTTATTTATCCACCAGATCCTCGATATAAATGATAATAATAAATCGATATTTGGCGACCATCAAGATAAAGTACTATTTGTAAAAACTGATATTGCATCCGAGGTATTATTTATATAATTTTTTAAATATTCTGAATCTTTAATTTCTTGCAAAAAAAAAAAATAATATTTTATTTTATTTATATCTAGAAAGATGTAAAGCAAGCAATTTCTTTAGCAATTAATAAATTTGGCGAGACAATCAGAGGACTTGTGAATTGTGGAGGTATATCACCTGCAGCTTGTAGAGTAAGCATCGCCAATTTAATGATGGGTTCATCATAGGTTAATCAGATCATAGAGTTAATTCTATATTTATTGTTAATTTACGTTTTTCTCTCTCTAGATTGCTAATAAAAATGGAATGGCACTCGATTTAGAAATGTTTAAAAAAGTTATAAATGTTAATTTGGTAAATAAATAAATCAGTTGGTTAATTAATTAATGATATTAAAATGCTAAATTCTTTTGTTTTTATTAAAGATTGGTACATTCAATGTATCAAGATTAGTAGCTTCACAAATGATTAAGCAAAAACCAATGGAAGAAGGTATTAAATAAATTATTGTATCTTCATATTATATATTACTATATCTTACCACTATTAATATTATTGTTATTATTATTAGGTGAAAGAGGGGTCATAATAAATATTTCATCAATCGCAGCAATAGAAGGTCAATTAGGTCAAACTGCTTATTCTGCATCTAAAGGTGGTGTTTCATCGATGACTTTACCTATGGCAAGAGATTTAGCGAAATTTGGAATTAGAGTTGCAGCTATTGCGCCTGGAATCTTTGGTAATTCGTTGTTGTTTTTGTTGTTGATGGTAGTGGATTTATAAAATCATTTTTTAATTTTTGTTTCTGTTGTTATTGTTCAGCCACGCCGATGGCCAAATTATCTAGTTCAAATAAATTTGAGGATTATGTTGTTGGATTAATGGAATTTCCTGCCAGACTTGGTAAAGCTGAAGGTGGGTAAATTTATTTTTTTCCTCTTTAACATTATATATCATTAGTATTTATTTGTTTATTTTGTGATTCATTTATTTAGAATGTGCAAAATTAGCAATTCACATTATTGAAAATATTTATATAAATGGAGAAATTATTAGAATAGATGCTGGTATTAGACTTGGCAAGTTGTAGTAGTAATAATTGTAGTAGTAATAGTAGTAACAATAATAACAGTGTTGTTATTGTTAATAATATTAATGATGATAAACACAAAAAATTTCATCATTTATTCTATTTATTCTTTATTTTGTAAATTTATAATCATGTAAAAATAAATAATTTTTTACATAATTATAAATTTACATATGATGGATGTCTGATAATCTGATATGCCCAAGAAGTGATATCAAAACATATATTGTTGTTGCAACTCTTTGCTATAAATTCATGATTTCTTATGATATTGATTTTTTTGTTATTCATTCATATAATCTATTATCTATCAAGCTCTCTATGCTTATTTTTTCTTGTGATAACTCCAGAAAATATTCTTTTCTTTGACATCTGATAGGTCTCACTATGCACAATTGAAGATATTTGAAAGAAAATTAGAATTTGTGTGAGTTAGCAAATCTCACAATCCAGTTTTATGTTATCATCATAATCAAAGCCTTTTGGGTATTATAATAAATTTCTGTAACTTTTTATTTGATGAGAGGCCTTAAACCGAACAAAGAGTATTAATCCTTATGGTCTGTAATTTCCTAACCCTCATCAAAACTAACTGTCGAACAAAAATCATTTTTAACATTGAAAAGGTGAATATGGAGCGCGCATGACGTACTGAAGATAAACTGGTTTGTCATTTTAATTGAATGAAGTCACAAGACTGACATTGCTTCCGTAGGAAGTCATTCATCTTAATCATTATTCTTCTATGCAATAAAAGTTTATCTGAAACAACCGAACTTCAGGAATTCTAATATTTGCTATGAAAATCACCAGTCGATTATTGCTCTGCTTCACAATTGATAAGGAAGGTGCCTCTTTATTGTTGTTACTATATTGCCTCGAGAAATGTTTTTCTATCTAGATCGCGCCTTTTATAGTATTTACAATTTCTTTTTTGCAACCTTATTTATTGCCCAACGTCTGTAAATTAAATATCGGTTATGCAAAAGAATCAACCTACATCAAAATTTTGTTTCGATACGTTCCTCGCATCCATTTTTAATTTCTTTGATGACATGTGATACTTATGAACGTAATAATAATAAAATATAAAAACTTGAATCAAAAAAAAAAGTGGAAAAGTTACGAGAGCTGATAGAATAAGTTATAACAAGAAATTTATTTAATACAAATATAATTTTATAATTATAATTCAAATCTAAAAATCTATAAATAAAAAAAATAAATTATATTGTTGTCAAAAATTAAACAAGAAAAAAAAATTCTATTAATAATATCCATTTTTTCCCGAAAATCTTTCTCGCCAACCATCTAATAATTCATTCATAAAAATACTCTATTATCAAAATAACTTCCCAAAACCTTTAAATTCATACAATATTTGCATAAATTATCTAACGCCTTTTGAATTTTATAATCATCTTTGTTACCCTCTAACTCAACAAAAAATACATAATGCCATAATCTTTGTAACGAAGGCCTTGAATCAATTTTTGTTAGACCAATGTTGAGATCTTTAAATATTTTTAAACTATCACATAATGCATTTGATGATTTATTATCAACTGTAAATGAAATTAAAGTTTTATTACTACAATGATTGTTGTTATTGCAGCCATTGCTGCTGCTTTTGGTGGTAATGGTTTTTTTGATAGTGTTGAGGTTTTGATTAAAGGTTAAATTATTAGTGATATTTGGATTAATCAGAATAAAAAATCTTGTTGTATTATCTAACAATAATAATAATATAATAATAATATATAGTAAGATAAAATACAATAATATATGTTATGCAAAGTATAAGAATTACCATTTTTATCCTGAATGTTTTTCTCCAATACCTTCAAACCATATAATTTTGAACATATGATACTTGATATTGCAGCAGAGCCAGGTTCTGAAGCAGATAATTCAGCTGCATGACTAGTGGATGAAGACTCCACACGTGCAGCATGTTTAAGATGTTGATCCAACCAATTTTGACACTGACCAAAGGCCTTTATTTTTTTTATTAATCATTGTTTCGATTAAAAGATGAAAATGAAAATGTAGATGAGAATATAGAAATAATAATGATAATGATAATGATAATGATAATGATAATAATAATAATAATAAATTTACTTGTGGGTGACTATATATTTTTCTTATTGAGTTAATTGGTGAATTGGAAAGTAAACAATGGCTCACCTAAAATCAATTAATGTATTATTAGAGATAATTATTCGGCAATAAATACAGCAAGAATAATAAAATATACTAGTGTTGCATACAGTCAAACAAATTTCCTCGATTATTTGAGTTTCAGTGTTAATAAATTTATCAAGAGTCGTAACAACTGATCCGAATGTAGAATTTTCAAAAGGTACAATTCCATAAGTTGTAAGACCTTTCTCGACTGCTTCAAAAACATCTTTTAAAATAAATAAATAATAATCGATAATTTAATTTGTAGAACAAATAACCTGATAGTTTAATTACTTATTGATTATCATATATTTCATAGTACTCACCAGCAATGGTCACTTGTGGAATATAACGAATCTCATTACCAAATCTTTCATGTGCTGCCTAACACACACACACAAACATGTATATAATGAATGTGATTGAAAAAAGAAAATTTGTATAAACAATGCATATTATCATATATGAAGATACAATCATTCATACCTGATGAGTGTATGAGCCTGCAGGTCCAAAGTATGCAATAGAAGCATTTTGATTTGACATGTTATTCATTATTTGATTACAATACTGACTATATATAGTTAATTATTTTTAATTAAACAAAATAATCGTCGACACAAAATGTTGATCAAAAATAAAATGAATAAATGACCAACTAAATCGGTAAGGTCATTTGAGTGGAAAAATATCACGTGAAAGTAGTTTTGACCAATGAGAATTACTGTGCAGGTCACCTATAATCAATTAATTGCTTATATATGGTAACAATTGGACAGCTCTGAAACACTAGGCTCCAACATACCGTACTATTAATATTGAAAAGATTCAACGGAGGCTCTCCTAATAATCGGTTATTCATTATTATATGTTTTCCCACTTTTTAACTGATGTAATAATACGTGCATTTTGCAAGATATAACGGTTTCTATAATTAAAGCAATCTCCAGTTCCAATTTTCTTGCATTCAGATCACTAGTTTCTAGATTGTATCAAATTTAAATACGTGGGAAACTCCACTCTCATAACGATTGGTACACAAAAATTATGTTAATTTCATGTACTCGACATAGTGGTTGTATCCGGATAATCGGTCAAATTAAAAATTTAGCACCCGAATAATCGGTGATTTGGCTTTGTTCGAATCTATATTCAAATATATACCATATGAAATAGTTTTGAATTCTGGATAAAAGAGTTGCCTTTGGAAATAAAAGGTTTCGAAAGTCAAAAAAAAGAAATGTTTACCTAGTGCAATAATTGCATTTGGCTTTTTTATCTATAACTGTGAAATGGTTTCACACTTCACTTCTTGACTTTTTATTTGTTATCGTTATTAATATTAATATGCAGAATTTCTATTCGTAATACAAATTCTATTCGAATTATTCGTTTATTCGTTTTATAAACATTCAATACATTTCGAATATTCAACTTCATAACGAATAAAACAAATCATTCGAATAAACCTTATTCCCCTATTAATAAGAAATTTAGAAATCCGAATCGAATCACGACTCGATTCGATTAGCTCGGAGCCTTACCGCTGAATATTTGATTCTAAAGCCTGTGGAGATAAAATAGTATGTTATCTATTTTATATTTATTCATTCAATTAAAAATATTTGTTCTTTTTTTATGTTTTGTATTATTAATTAGTATTAGTATTACTATTTATTGATTACTATTATTTATTTTCAACACCCGATTAACCGAATAGTCGGTGAATATTAATATCATTCGGCGGATGTAACCACTGACGTAGTTGACTTATTTGGTAATGTTTGTTGCAGTTCTTTCGCCTTTTATTTTCTATATATATCCATCTTTTTATTAAATAATAATAAACTAATTAAATTTAAAAAAAAAGAAAAATAGAATGTTTTCAGAAAAATATGCTGTTGTAGTTGGTATAGGTACTTATACATGTGTATTTGTATATGTGCAGTAGTAATCACCTAGTATATTAATTTCTTTACTAATAAAATTTAGATTTTGGAACATCAGCAAGTTCCTTTGCATATGCTTACAAAATTGGTTCGTCAAAGCCGGAAATAGTAACCCATGATAAATGGCCAGACCAACCTGGTGGTGGTATGTTTAAAACCGACACAGCATTACTATATGATACACAAACTTGGAGTATTGCTGCATGGGGAGCAAGTGCAATGGTTTGTAAACCTGAAAAAAAGAAAAGAAAAAACCAAAAGAATAACAATGATGTTGTTTGCGGCGATGGTGGTAGTGTTATAGCGCCTAAAAAAGGAGAATTATGGGGTCCTAATAGTACATTGCTTATTGGTGATAGCAACAATATTAATATTAATAGTCCAAAGACAATATCAGCCACCATGTTCAAATTACATTTGGCTGATTTGAAGCAAGAAGATAAACCACATTTACCTATGAATATCGACTATAGAAAATGTATCATGGATTATATGTCTGAAATGACAAAGGTATAATTACAATTATCTGTCAATACGATTATTTTGGAAAGAAGAAGTCTTTCCTTTCATATTTATATTTATTTATTGTCTATTTTTATAGTTAATACGGACAACTATAGCAACAAGATGGCCAAGTAAGCAATCAATCAAATCTCATTGATATTTTTTATATAGAATAAATGATAAACTTTTATTTATATTTATTTATTTTAGATGTAGATTTTTATCGTAATATCCTAATAGTATTAACAGGTAAATCTTGTGTTTATGTTAGATTATATTATATATATTTATATACATACATGTAATATAAATTAGATAAAATTTGATCCTAATATCTTTATTATATTTTAGTTCCTGCAACATACTCGGAAAGATCAAAAGCAATATTACGTGAATGTGTTTGGCGTGTAGGCCTAATCGAATCCATAAATGCAAAGAATCTTGAATTCACTACAGAACGTATGAATTGACACTCAATTTGTTTCCTCATTAACTAATAATGATATATGTCTTATAATAATAATAATAATAGTATTTTTAAAAATCTATTTCAGCTGAAGCTGCTGCTATTGATTGCATTCCACTGCTAAAACAATATGGATTAAAGAGCGGAAGTAAGCAAATTGGTTTATTGATTAATTAATCGTTATTTATTATGACACCAATTAATATTAATACTTGAATATTTTTTATCAATTTGAATTAAAAAAAAAAAGCAAACTTTATGATAGTAGACTGTGGTGGGGGTGCAGTAGATTTAACAATGAGGCAACTTAATAACGAAGGAAAAATAAGTGAAATAACGGAGAGAACGACTGATTATTGTGGATCAACTTATGTTGATAAAGAATTTGTTAAATATCTTTTTAAAAAATTTGGATTATTTAATGCAATACAAAAACTTAAAGACAGTCATTATGAACAATTTCAATATTTAGTAAAACAATTTTCTGATAAGGTTAAAATACCATTCACCAACAATGGGTTCAAACCTATCGATTTAGATTTGCAGGATTGTTGTCCGGCACTTATGAATTTTGTAGAAGGAGACGTTAAAAATAGATTAGATGAATTAGATTGGATTATCGAATTTAATTTTGAATTAGTTAAATCATTTTTTGATCCAGTGATTCAGCGAATTGTTTGGTTAATAGAAAATCATTTAAAATCATCAAAAAGGAAATGCGGTGCAATGTTTTTGGTCGGTGGATTTAGTGAATCGCCGTACCTATTACATCAGATAAGATCATATTTTCATCATTCAATACCAAATATTGGTGTTCCAAAACAGCCTATATCATCAATTGTTCGAGGAGCAGTACAGTATGGATTAGATATGAGAACGGTGACAACAAGAGTTTTACGATACACATATGGAGTCCAAGTGTTGGATAAATGGAAAAAGAACGTAGATCCGCCAAATAGAAGAATGCCAAGTGGCCATGTTTATGTGTTTCATAAAATGGCACAAAGAGGCACATCGGTGGAAGTTAATCATTCAATTGGATATGTGGCAAGGCCTTCAAATCCAAATCAAACCGATATGGCTTTTAATATTTTTTCTACACCAGCATTGAGTGCAAGATTTTGTGACGAGCCAGGAATGAGATCGTTGGGCACTTTAAAAATTGACTTGTCAGATATTAATCTTGGGGCCAAACGATTAGTGGAATTTTCTTTAACTTTTGGAGCTATGGAAATTAAAGCTACTGCTAAAAATAAAAAAACAGGAGTAATTTACCAAACAAATTTACAACTAGAATTTTAATGTTTATTTATTTTATCATTGTATTTTTCATTGTAATTTTTAGAAAATAAATGCATAGAGCAACATAATGACAATTTTATCAGAATGGTTATAACTACCAAATTCCTTTTATTGTAGAATTAATAGCAGAAATTCAAAAATTTGTATTAGTGGCGCACTAGAATTTTATACATAGAAAATCATTTAAACTAATAATAATAAGCAACATTTTATTATTACTATATTTTACAAACCAAAATTTATTTCCATTTATTATTTTATGAATGAAATCATTAACAATTGGAGGAGTTTATTATTATTATAATAATAATATATATAGTCTGTTGGTTATATAAATTGGATGTATTCGAATTATTCGTTTGTTCGTTTATTCGAATTATACCGTTTTATTCTAATTAATTGAATTACTCCGGTTTATTCATTTTATTAGAACTATTAAAATCACTCATTTTATTCGGATTATTTGTTTATTCGAACTATTAAAATCACTCATTTTATTCGAATTACTCGTTTTATTCGTATCTCTCGCTTATTCGTATATTCGTTTTTAGTTTTAATCGAATTATTCGTTTATTTGTTCTATTAAATTATCGAATTATTTGTTTATTCGAATTATCAAATTATTCGTTATTCATTTTATTCAAATAATAAACTTTCAATTCGAATACTCAAGTTCATAACGAGCAAAACAAATAATTTGAATAAACCTTATTCGAATAGAAACCCTAGTTGTATATAATGATTTTAATTTAGTTTGAACATTATTGTCTAAATGTATGCCAGATTTGGTGACTCCATAATAGGCCGTAAATAATTATGGCATTACGGTTTATGACTTTAATGACATTGGAGTGTCATGCCGAATTGTTAAATAAATATTTTTGTATTTTTGTGTGATACATATTTGTGTCCATGACTTTCTTATTATTATCATTATTGAAAGCACTGGCCTGTAAATTATTATGTTTCTGTCACATTTAGTAATACTCTATTAAATAAATAAAAAAAGCTCCAAATTTTAATTAAAACCTATCCATCCCCGTCGATTTACATGTCTCTGTCACAATGACAAACCACCATAAATTCTTTGAACATTAGCTCAACTAGTGCATCATAATCTTGCATGAAGCAATGACGTTGATATCTTTCTTTGTAAGCTATTCAATGTTTCGTCAACATCAAAAAATCTCGTTTTCCTATATGATAATCATCTCTTGTTAAGTCTGACATTTCTAGATCAGTGTGCTATATTGGCTGGCTATATGTGCGTTTTGAACTGTCCTTTCTATTTGAAATCAAATCGATATCAACAGTAATATACATTATCTGAAACTAAAATGCAACGTGAATTGCTTACAATTTATTGTTTTTTTTGAGTTTGTAGAGCAACAGTATAATATTTTTTTCAAATGGCAAAAACAAGAGTCAATTTTTAGAAATGTTTAAGTTAATTATTAACTCAAACTCATTTTTATTATTATTTTTTGTTCATAAAAAAAAAAAAAAATAAGCCCCGGCTTAGGCACTGATTCGGGATCGCTATCAGGGATATTTGTTTTGGTTTTTCTTTTCCGCTTTCTTTTTGCACTCTTTGTTCTTCCCTTCTTTGGGGTTTACTGATTGACTCAGTAGGGCTCTTCGGATTTGTGCCATCATATATTTTTCAAGTATGAGGGCCTTTCCCTAATTTTTTTTTGTTGTAGATTGTGGTCGGCGAATAATATCTATGAGGCCATTAAATACACTTAATCCAATAAAAAGAAGAGATTTGGGTTAATCTTGAAAGTTCTGCGTTTTCAACCTTGTCATCGCTTTCAACGATCTAATCGTTATTGTATATTGTATATTGTCTTTTGTTATTTTAGGATGAAAGTTAGAATAATTTAAAGATTCAAGGAGGAATGGGATATCTTAAAGATCAAATCCAATGTTTATCATATCAAATACAACACTCAATCCATTCAATCTATCAGTAAAAATTAATCCGGCAGCAATCGCCTGACAACTTACAATTACCAGTACAAAGAATTTGAAAAAAAATTGATGGCGAAAAGGATTATTTAAAATTCAGGTAAAAATAATGTTGTTTACCACAGTTGTAAAACTATTACGTCAAATACGCAAGTAAAATTGCTTTAAAGGCGAATAAAATATAAAAGTTTGCAAAAAAAAACTTATAAATATATTTTTTTTAATATTTCCCAATTTCCTCCCTTGTTTCATCAGTTATTCTCGAGGAACCAAGTTTTCTTTTGCTGAATGCAAATTCAATTCCCACACACTCATTTACCACTAAACTCGAACATTTCTTATATTAATTAATATTAATAACGTGATAAATGATAAAATCATCGATTAGGGATTCAGTACTTTATGTTCCAGGGTCAACTAATTTTAGTATATCAAATGAAAATTTTACGGAAAAGCTTTTTATAATTATTATTGTGTAAATAATTATGGAAGTTTTTATAACGTCAACATTGATTGATTAAGTTACTTTGCAATAATAAACTCACACATATTTATCTTTATCCTTATTGTAGGATCAACGAAAATTTCGTTAAAGATAACTTCTGGTCTTCGCTTGAAAGAGCATAATTTCTGGTCCTCAAAGAGGATAATTAACATCTAATAAAATAAAACTCTGTAATAAGACACACACACACGCACGCACGCACGCACACTCTCTAATAGAATCATTATTTTTATTAATTTTTAATAAATTTTTAAAAATAAAATAAAATAAACCGTTTCTTTGTTTACAGCGCTTCGATAAAAGAAACAAATGTATTTAGTACCTTGGTAAAAGGTAATGATTGTGGAGCTTTGGTAAAAGACCGTATTTATTTGCTTTAGTAGCAAGCAAGCAAAGCTAGGACTAACGTTGGTTAACTAGTGAGTGTTAACAATGATTAGTAATGTAACCTGCATTAGCGAGTAAGCAGAGGTTAGGACTAACGTTGGTTAACTAGTGGGTGTTAATGAAATATCGTCCAAGGTTAATAAAAAATATTATTGTAATCGTAAATGTAAGGTGTTAAACAAGCTACTTAAGTTGTTTTGCAAGTAAACCAAGACGAGTTTGAAATCGGCCAATAATGTAAACAAGGGAAATCAACTAAAACAAATCAATCACAAGCGAATAAATAAAAGGAACTTTATAGTATTGCAAAAGGCCATATTTTGTTATTTACAGTTATCTGATGCTATTAAGTGTGCTCACAAATTCGTCTAGGTGCAAGAAAGAGGGAACTCGTAAACTAATTAATTGACAAGAGTGCCCAAAAGTTAACTCATAATTGTTAATTAACCGAAATGATACCTCGCAATATCACCATTTAACAAGGATCGAAAAATTGTAAAAGTTTATTTCAAAATATTGTCACAAAATGAGAAATAAAATAAGGATGAAATAAAAAGATAAATAAAAATAAGATAATAAATTTATAGTGGAGATTAAATTACTATCGTTACTATATAGAACCTAATGTTAATTAATTAATTAATTAATATTGTTAATTTCCAATTAATTAATAATGAAAATTTTTATTCGCCTTTGTTAACATTTAGAAAAAAGAGTTACAATCAAGATTATTTAACGAACTATTACTTGTAATTTTTAAGCTTTTAGACTTAGCAATCTCTTCATCTAATATTCTACTTTTATGGTATGCATCTGGATGTGATTTGTGTGCTTGTTGCGGATCACCACCACTGCTGCCGCTGCTACCATCATTAAAATCAATTTCATGTTTTTTGATTTTAGAAAATCCGAATAATCTTTTTATTAAACTATTAT